TTAACTCAAATTTGTACATAAGTTGGAATTTGTACCTATGAACAAGTTACATATTACTAAAAATGGCGGACAGCATTGTCCTTTTTTGAGGAGCTGAAGCCGTGCAATATTTTTATGAACCCCTGAAACTGTGCATTTTTAATACCCACAAACTCTGTGTTGTGTGCCAGATGCATCCTTTCCTAGATAGGGAGGCTCTGCACTCAAGTCATTCAAGGGGCTATCCTTGAAAAGTATCTATAATCTTCAGCTAGTGCAGAATGCAGCTGCACAAGCTATATTGGATGCTCAGAGAAGGGTACATGTAACACTTCTGTTCCACAAACTGCACTGGGTGCCAGTTTGCTTCTGGATCCAATTCAAGACTTTAGTTCTGTCTTATAAAGCCCTACGTGGCACGAGGGTGCATTTGTCCCATCACATTAGCCCACCAGCAGGCCAGGCAGGGAAGATATGTTGCAGACCCCATCAGTTAACACACTCCAATTGGCGGGGTCTAGAAAGAGAGCTTTCTCTGCCCTTGCCCCTGCCCTGTGGAATATTTCCTCCCGCTGGAGGTGAGACAGGCCTCTGCTCTCCTGGACTTTCGAAAAAGAGTTAAAACATGGCTCTGTGACCTCACAGGAGTAGCTCAAAGGAATATATAGCCATGGGGCTGTTTGGGCCCCCGAGAATCCTTCCTTCACCTTTTTAATTAACTTTTAAAAGGTCTTAATTATTCTTGCCTCCTTCTAAAATTTTAATTCTAGCTTAATCATTTTTATATACTATTTTTTATATTTTGACGTTTTATTGTATAGTTCCTCTATGAGGGAGATGGGCGATTCAGAAATGCAAAAAAAACCCAAACAAACAAATAAGAAAACTGTGTAGCTTCAGTGGTTCATCAGCTTGAGTAAGAACATTTTTAGTAATAGGCAGCCCGTTGTTAAGTATGGGTTGTCTGTAAATCTGACTTTCTTAATATAGGGTCTGCCCATATTGATTCTCTGTACCGAAGCAGATAAACTATTGTAATCATGCTTAACATTATATGGTGGGCCAAGGAATGCAAAGACAAGACTGACTGATTAATTGATTAAATTTCATTCATTTCTAAAACAACTCTGGCTTCACAAGATCAAAAAACAGGAAAATAAATGAAGTAAAGTTCTTAAAAGAACTTTAAGCACACAAACATTTATTTTTATAATTTTTTATAATTAGCATTACAGTAATAGTCCAATCAACATGCAGATACTTACGTTCTTTTTCAAAAAGCTCTCGAACGCCAGGTAGGTCTTTAGCTGCTCCAAAGTATTTATAACCTCTGTTTCCTGGAACTTCTTTTCCTTCATGGTCAAGCATTTTAGGGCCAATTCTCTATAAAATGTTTTATTTAAAAGGGAGATGAGCCGTAAATTTAAAAAAAAATTCCTTATCTATCTCTGTAGACAAAATTTCACATGACTTCAGATAATTATAACCAACTGATGTGACCAGGATCTGCCCAAATTGTGCAGGGAAGTAGTCAAAGAAATTATTTCAACAGAGAGACTAAAATATTTGAACTTGCAATTTGTCTGAGTGGTTCTTTTAACCAATATTTTATTAGCAACTTTGGAATAATACATTTATACTTTTTGCACCTTCTCACAGGGATTACTGCATACTCACAGCATAATCAGGTCCTCCCAGCTCCTTTATACGGACCTCCCAGTGTCCCTTCTCTCTTAGGAGTTTGTTAATTTCATCATTCAAATCACGAATTCTGAATTCACCTAAACCAGCTATTTTTAAAGAAGAAAATACAGTTTATCCTGTGGTCTTTTCAAACTGAAACAATACCGTTTTCTATCCTGAAAATCTGTGGGAATTATAAAAGAGCTGTCATATTGCTTTACTCTTTTCAATAACTTCTCTTTGCTTCTGGATAATTATAATGGCCCTCAAATTATTAAAAATTTTAGTATGTTTTAAATAAAAAAGGCAAATCCTCTCAGATGAATTACAATTTAAATACTTATATAGGTTTGCTGAACAGTATCAGGCCAAGGAGGGTAGAGGGAGAAAAGGGTAAAAGAGCGCATTTTACAGATGTTTTTGAATACCGGCATCAATTTGCCCTCATAAATTTGGTACCATACTTCTTAATTAACAACTAGGAAAAGGTGCAGATTTAAATATTACTGAAAATTAGATTCTACAGTTGCAGAAGGATACTAAGATTACTCCCATCATTAGGAACTTACCATTTTGAATTTGGGCCACTTTCTTGGAAATTTCACCAATAATCTTTTGAAAAGAGACAATAAGCTATGGTTAGTTCTTTTCTTCGAAAGAGTAGCAAAGTACTGTTTTACACTGTGACATCTCATGTTTAGAACTGTAAAATTCTTGGTTAATATCTGAGCTTGGTAACATCTTTTCCAATTAGCAAATTTTATTAAAATTTTATTTGCGAGCTGCTGCTCATTTCATCAGATGCAATATAATCAAATATCATATACATAGCTTTCCTCCTGTCCTGGTTAACATCTGTACCATTATTCTACTTTGTTAAAGTCTGTAATGTTTGACTGACAGAAGGGAGGCCAATTATTTTAGTGACCACATGTAGAACACCCAAATGGGATGATTTTAAATATTAAACATTAATTAAAAATATTTCCTCAACCCATTTACACTGCTTAGTTTAAAGCGCTAACAATACCTACAAAAGTTAAATGTTTATATTTTAATTTTATTGCTCCATTTGAATATTGAAAAAGAATTGGCTGAAAGAATAAATATAAACAATACCTTTAATGTCACATTAAATCTTAGTTTTAGCCATTTGTGCTTTTAGTGTACCTGAACAGCTAGGTGACATTTATATGTTAATACTGAATATATGTCCAATGCAACACAGTTCATGTTAATAGAATCCACCTATTTTATTTATTTTGAATACAAAACAATTCTGGATCAAAGCCACTGTCTTTTAATTATTATTCTGGTTTTCTTTATTAAACAAAATATCTGTATTTTACCTAATTCATCAGGCAGTTGCCCATACATCTTATGCCATCTGTCAGACTTGAATATTTTTTGTTGTTACTATAACTAATATATTTGTTATTTTACTGTACTTTGACCACAAGACCTCTCTCCCATAAATTAAGTTATTTAATTCATCTATCTGTTCATCTTCCCTATGTATAAAATAATATGGCTTTCTTATATCACTTGTGTTTATGTCATGTCTGAAGTATCTGTTCTCTTAACAAATTTGTGTACACAGAGCAGACACCCTTGGATCTAATGATATTTTAAATACTTACTTACATTTTTTTCACTTCCCAATAGTGCACTGCAATATGGCGGTTTTGTACCTCAAAGTAGGTGACATAACAATATTTCTTTAAGCCTCTAAAGAAAAGGAAGTAGAGGTAGTCCTTGAGCTACAACCGTAACTGGAACCATAATTGCTGTCATAAAGCAATGTGGTCCTAAAGCATGACACCACGTGACCACATTGCTTAGTGACAGCAATCTAGGCAGTTCTGGTTGTTGTCCTAACTCAGGCAAGTGGGCCGTTCAGTGAGAAGTGGAAGGAGTTTCAAGTAAAGAAGTCAAGGGTGCCACAGGGAGATGGGGAAGGCCTTAGGAGGCTCAGCACAGGCTGAACACAAGGGAGTACTACAGTGCAGTGTAAACTCAGGAAGGCTGGAGAAAAAGAGCACAGGGGACATATGTGCATGTGAGGGCAAGGAGGCTGGGAAAAGGAAGCGCAGGTTGCATGCGAGAGCAGGGAGGAAAGAGATGCAGGGTACATGCAAGCTTAAAGAGTCTGAGGCAGCGGTTCTCAACCTATGGGTCGCGACCCCATTTGGGGTCGATCGACCATTTCACGGGGGTCGTCAAGCAAGGCTGTCCGCCATTTTTTCCCCTTTTCCGGCGGGTGCCTTACCTCCCTTGAGCTGGGCCAGCTGGTGGTCGCCCTGCTCCATCTCTGCCGCTTGCCAGCTACGCCTCGGCTGGTGCAGGGGGCGGAACCACGCATGCGCGGCGCTCCCGGGCAGGGAAAGTCCTCGACTTACGACCGGTTGGGTAGTCCTCGACTTACGACCGGTTTAGTCCTCAACTTACAACCGGTTTAGTCCTCAACTTACGATCGGTTGGGGGTCACGGCATTAAAAAGGTTGAGAACCACTGGTCTGAGGCAAGATGGCACAGGAAAACCAAAGAAAGAGTGTGTGGGGTCCGTGTGAGTGCAGAAAGGCTGGAGAAAGAGGATGCGAGATGCGTTCATAGGAACCTGCGAGCAAGGAAGACTGGGGAAAGAGGGCACAGGGTAAATGCAAGCAAAGAGGCAGAAAGGAAGGTGTGGTGATGTGACTCAAGGCTGGGGGTAGGGAAGACTTATCTGAGTGACTTGCAAGCTTCCCTGCCAGCTTCCCCATTGACTTTGCTTGTGGGAAACCGACAGAGAAAGTCACAAATGGTGATCACATAAGCATGGGATGCTGCAACCAATCACAAGTGCAAGCTCGTTGACAAGTGCTTGAATTTTGTTCGTGTAACCACAGGGGCGCTACAACAGCCAGAACTTTTGAGGACCAGTTGTAAGTGTCTTCATTCAGCACCGGCGTAACTTTGAATGGTCTCTGAACAATTCGTCATAACTCAAGGACTACCAGTAAAAATATACAAACAAACTTAATCTTACAGATTTAAATTTGATACATGATCTCAAAAGAAAAATACCTGTCGTCTCCATTTCTCAGCTTTGGGCAATTCATTGCATTCTGATGCAAGGAAAGGTCTTCGCTCCTATTGAAACAAGCAAATGCATTACCATTATCCTAGCATTAAGCTACGTACTTTCCAACAACTTATTTTTGTTTGCTTACATAGCTAATGTATATGCTTTCTTACATCCATGACAGGTCGGATAGAAACATAATAGCTATATTAATTTAACAACCAATTGAAAGAAAACTTTGTTGCATAAATGTTAAAATTAAGGATCACATGGCTATCTAATGATATGGGTATGACACTGAGTTCAACCCAAGATGATAGAATACTGTATCAATGGACAGCCATGTGATTCTCAATTTTAATTTTTATGCATAGTTCAAAATGTCAAATAGCTGATTTTCTGCTAAGAAAATTATGGAGTTGAAAGTGAAAACATCTGACTATCTCTAATTGGTTTCTAAAAATAAATTTATCAGAATGTTGAGTGTTTCAGAGAAGCTTGATTTCTATAAAGCACATGACTTTGGCTTACAGTACTAAAACAAAGACTGCTCTACAAGAGACTAGTATACATTATTAGAAACTTCCTGTGCATCATTCTCAATTTTTACTTGAACATTTTGTTTTAAAAAACCAAATTGTTCAAATCTTAGGTTACGGTTAATGGAGATTTATATTACTTATTTCAGATCTGTCCCAGGAGTTATGTGGGATCTTATTTATTTATTTTCATTTCGATTCAGCTGCAGTCAATTCATATTCTAGTAGTTCATACAAGAAGTTTTAAACACTCACAGATGTACAGATAAAATAAAAACAGTTAAAACACAAGCAATCTTGCATATCCTCTTTGTTCTGAAGAACTTTTTAGAACCAATTTTGCGTATGTCCTAAATCCTAAAGTTGCCTATTTCGTGATAAAATTTTGCTCTGTATTTAGCAAAACGAATATGCCACGAGAAGATCACTAGCATGAACAGAATGACTATCTGCAGAAGCAATCTTGCTTAGATATGAAAATTGCTAAATATTTTATTTTGTTCCTTTTTTATTTATTATATTGAATTTCAATCAATGACTGCAATAGTGCTTTCATTTAAATCGCTCATGCAAAATATATATAACATCTACAAAGCTGGGAAGAGAAGATAAATGTATATATTAGAACATTACATAGCAGCTAACTTTAGAACTCAGTTTGATGTTCAGGCATCACATTATTAAGCCAGGGCATGTAGAAATGTTTTTCACATGCATACAAACAAAGCAAGAAGTCTCTAAATAACCAGTTTCAAAACTAATATCAGCACAAGCCACATTATTTCACAAATAATCCTGATGGAAAAAGCAACACTCTGAGCCTTTTAAAGAGATATGGCCATCTTGATAATCTGAGCAAGTTGGGAGGAGTGCTTTATGCTCCTTCAAATGGTTTGCATTGCCCAAACAGTAGCACAGTAACCATAGTGATCATTACCACAATTTAATCAGGAACTTTGTGATATATATTGTGAAAACATTGAATGGCTATTTACACAGAAAAATATCTTGCTAGTCCCAGCTTTTGGGGGTGAAATTGAGATAAAATAATTTCATATCAATCAGCCAAGATTAACATCTGCATTTCTAGATTGAATTGCTAATGTTATTTTCAAGAGCCCATTTGTATGTTTGCCTTCTCAGTGGACAGTAGTCTCTGTATTTAAATGTATAGTTGTTTATATATGTTTAACTATGTTGTTACCTTAACTTTTCCTTCTTCTAGCTGAGCTTGGCGAAACCTTGCCAAAGCAGTCCTAAAAGGAAGAAAGCTTAGTTCAACATCTGTTGTTTAAAAATGATTTACAAACATCAATTTAGATGATTGGTACTGGGTAAATAAAGAGATCAACATATTTCTGTAAAGCAGTTTGCATTCATTATCTGAAAAGTTGTACAGACTTTAGTTACTAAACATAGAAAAATGACTTAAGATTATAGTCGGAACCTTTTAAAGTAGAACCTCATTGTTTTAAGTTTTTTAAAAAAATGTCCTTGTTCTTTAAAAAATATTTTAAATATAAAATTCTAAATAACAGACGAATATCAAATCCTCCCATTATATGAGGAAAGAAAAACAAAATTCACAATGTGATTAAGCCTTATAAACAGGGCTTTTTTTCAGCCGGAACGCGGCGGAACCGCGTTCCGGCACCTTTTTCCGGGCCGGCCGCACCGGAAATAGCCCCTCCCACACCGGAAATAGCCCCTCCCAAATTTTACTTGCATTCCTGTTCTCTAAAGGGGCGGTCCTAGGGTTTGATGAGGGCGTGGCCAGGTTTGAGTTCCGCCACCTTTTCTCCGAGAAAAAAAGCCCTGCTTATAAATATAAAAAAATGAAATAATGCCAGGATCTTACTGGGCTAATCCTTTCACATGTTCTGTGCTAGATTATCCAACACATTTAAGTTTTCAATACACCTTTTAAACTGTATTTTGTATTCTGTAAGTTTATTTTTCTCTTTGGAAATGGAGATTAAAAGCAACTCCCCACAAAGACATGTTGGTCTACATTGGCCTACAAACCAGTCATATTTTCTTAATCAAAGGACACTGAAACTACAGTACATGTGAATGATATCCTGTTTTCTCCACTAGTATTTGGAGGGAAGTGGGATTTTATTTAAGATATATAGTGATTATTTCCCTCAATCATTAAAATGCTTTTATGTGTAGAATAAATATAGCAATTAGTTCAACTGTTAAAAAACAAGCTGACAATTTCTCAGAATTAAAAAAAAACAAAATTCAAATTTACTTACATGGCCTTTTCTGCATTTCGAGCCTTAAAGAAGGGAGATAGTTGTTATTTGTTTTAAATAAATACTAATAAAATGAAGTTTGGAGAAATTTTACAAGAAGAAATAAAAAATCCTGTTAGATCAATACAGTATGAACATCCAATGCTTCCAGTGATAAGAGTTGCAATTATAATTTCACATATGTGGCTCTTCAGAAATAGATTTGATCATTACTAATTATTGAGTTGTGAGTTGATGTTCCAGCCATTCATAGTGTCGCATCTGATGTGAAACTAAGGAGTTTGGTCTAGTAGTGGCTAAGGCACCAGCTAGAAAACAATGGCCATGAGTTCAAGTCCTGATTTAGCCATGAAAGCCAGCTGGGTGACCATAGGCCAGCCACTCTCTCAGTTCAATTCAACTCACAGGGTTGTTGTTGTGAGAAAAAATAGGAGGAAGGTGTGCAGGATATGTTCACCACCTTGAGTTATTTTTGAAAATAAGGGTAGGATATAAATAAATGAATAAAAAAAATAACTAAATAACTAAATAACTAAAGACACTCCCTATTGGTCTAATGCAGGGGTGTCAAACTGCCGGCCCATGGGCCGGATGTGTCATGGCAAAACTGCGCCCACCCAATTCCTGGCAATGGAAAAAAAGTCGCGATATATCACATGTCACGTGATGTTGCGAGTTTGACACCCCTGGTGTAATGGGACAACTGGATTGATGCCATTCTAGCAGTCAATCACAACATGATCAGGTATCCAACAGAACATAATAGTGCACAGAACTAGAAATCATCAACTAGGAATATGAAAAACATCCAAAACAAGCAAATAATTGTGCTTGTGATAGTCATGACAGAACTGGTTTGTTTGTTTTTTAAATCTAGAAATAACATAGTTGATAGTTAATAAATTACAGGATTCAAAATGAGTTTTATTTCTGCAATTTTAAAAGAGTAATAGCCTGGTTCCAAAAGGAAAATAGCATTAATGAGTGTGTGTGATCCACAGAATAGTGAAGTAAAATTGCTATGAAAAATCCAGTTATACACAATTTTTTAAAGAATTCAAGGGCTATTATTAAACAGTGCTGGACACTAGGAACTATCCACTCATAACAAAACTAGTGTTTTAAAAAATATGTATTTATCTTGCTGCGCTCTTATATGTTGGCAGGTCAAATATTATATTGAGCTGCTAATTCTGCACAAAACTACAGATTTTTTGCAAGCAATCTTCAATTGCAAGTCTTGTCTTTTCCTTCAGGCCCTACGGATTCATTCGTATACACTTGAATTTTCTCCAAATCTAATCCCATTATACAATAGTATAATTGTGTAAGACAGCGAAGGACGATAACTTCTGTTCGACTCTCTCCCATGCACTTCCAGAAGAGTGTTCCTTCACATGTGCATGCCTAACCCCGGCCATATAAAAACTAGCAGAAGATCAAAAGAGTCATGAAGACAAAGCACAAAAGAAGCTATTCTGGATCCCGCAATCCAACGTGACCCTCGCCTCCCACCCACTCACCATGGTTGCAACCGCGGCAGAACACGACGCTACCCCGAAACCTGCCGCCCAGCCGGAAACGTAGCTTGAAAAACACGATAACCCGGAAGAGATTGATCTGTAATCGACGGCACTAAGTTCTCCTGTCTTGTACTCCTTAACAGCGACTTCCGGTTGTCTATTGCAGTTTGCGTAGACTGCCACGAATAGGCAGAAGCGCTAATAGCGTATAGGCTCTTATATAAGAGCTCTGATATGCTTAAGAGATTTCGACGTATCGCCTCTCATTCTAGCACGGATTGATGTTTTCCAAGCAGGACCTTTATTGGTTTTTCGGCCAGTTCCTTATATGCCATCTCCCGCCTAAGAGCGAACCCTGCCGGGGATTGTCAGGAGTAGCGGAGCTAAAATTAAAACTTGGGGGAATTGGCGGGCTGAGATCTACAGAAGTACCTGCCCCTGAAAAAGGGAGTTAGGAGAAAACTTAAATAAAGGAAAAAGGAAAACCTTTGCTTGTTGAAAACCTGCGATGGATTATCTTTGTTTCTGTTTCTCCTTTATCCTTTTTAAAGTAAAGTTAAATTTACTGTATTCTATAAACTTACTTTTTATTTGTATTACTTTTGTATTTGTGTGGATCAGAGATGCTTTCATGTAAAAAGCAGAGTAAAAATGCAGTGTTGTTGCTTTTAATATCTCTATTAGTTGAAGCTTTACAAACAAGTGCAAGTTTTAAGTTTCCAAGAATGCTTTACTAGTCATTCTGATTAAAAATCCAGCTTCTAATCATGGATCACTGAAACAGAGGCAACGCTGTAGTTATTGGATTAATAGAAGGTACTTTCAGATACAATTGAATGATAAATGGCTCTAAGCTTTTTAACTGGCAGGGTATGAAAGTGAGGATCCTGCTCTCATAGGTGTACTATTTTTCAACTGGTTCATTTCCTGGTTCTTGTCACTAATTTAATGTTGGTGTTCCAAAATCTTCAACTTTTAGGTGTGCTGCATTTATCATACTCTGGGTGACTACACCCTATAGTGGTGAGATGCTTTGGAAATCTTTCCAACTATCTTAAGTATGCAGCACCGTGACATATGGCAAGGCTTTTCAACCAGTGGTACTGGTACCACCTGTGGTACATTGGCACCTGGCAGGTGGTATGCGACCATCCTAGAAAAGTGGTAGCGGGGGAGGGGAATGAGCTGAACCGGTGGCAGCACCGCACAAGCCTGAGTGAGAGACGGCTGGAGCTGCAGGGCTGTCAGGGCTCAGCGGAAGCGCCAGGATCAGCGCCAGGCTCCAGCTGGAGCTCGGCGCTGATCCTGGTGCTTCTGCTGAGCCCTGAAGAAGCACCAATCACCTGGAAAGCAGCACTGATCCTGGCGCTTCTGCTGAGCCCTGAAGAAGCGCCGATCAGCTGGAATGTTGCAGCCTCTCCAGGGTCTTGTGATTTACATTCAGATGTTTGGCAACTGATTCGTATTTATAATGGTCACAGTGTCCCAGGGTCATGTGAAGTGACCAAAACCTGCTGCAACCACCCAGCAGACGGGGGAATAAAAACCAAACACCCCCCCACCCCACCCCCGCTGCCAATCCTCAACAGAAATGCTCACAACCATGAAAACCACGGACAGGAGGAAGAGCGCCGCTGGATGGGCAGGCAGGTGTCTTGCTCGGCTGTGCCTTGGGGGGCACTTTTTTCAGTACCATTGTAACTTTGAACAGTCACTAAGTGAACTGTTGTAAGTCGAGGACTACCTGTACTTCATCACTTTTTTTCCTTTTTGGGGGGGTCAAGTTTTTGACACCTTGCTAGGTGACTGGTGGTACTCGGATGTTGCCATATCTTAAAAGTGGTACAATGGGTGAAAAGGTTGAAAAGCCCTGACATATGGTATGTAATAGAAATTTAAGGACTATTAATCAAGATAAAGTATATCACGTCTTTGCTAGACAGAGCACGTAAAGTTTTAGATTTAGTGGCATCTCTCTTAGCAACAATTACTTTAGATAAATGATCTCTGTATCTGTTGACCAATCCTGCACATTGAAGATTTTTTCTTTACAGTACTGTGGCTGCTTCGCATAAACTGCTTGCTTCAGATCATACTACAAACCGGGTAAAGGTCAGGGCTTTGACTTGGTCATTCCAAAAATGCTTCAGCTATTCATCTGTAAGATTTAGTTGTTTTGGACCTTTCTGTTGCAATCACCAAGTCATTTAAACTTCAGACCATTGATTTCCCTAACATTCTTCTGTAGAGTATGCTGATGCAATGCAGAGTCTAATACTCTCTCAATGATTTCAAGCAGCCTTGATGCTGAGGTTGAAAAAAACCCCAAATCATTATCCCACTGGGATGGGTTTCTTTTGTTGAAATTGTGTTTCATTTTTTTCTAAACATACAATTTCTCATTTGTGACACAAAGTTGTTTTTATCTGTACTCAGAAAATGTTTCCAACAATCTGCCCCATTACCCAGGTTGTCCTTTGGCAAACATATTTGACTATGCTTTTTAGAGAGCAGTGGTTTCCAATTTGATGTTGTCCAAGTGAATTCTTGTTTGCTATTTTTCTGGTCTCATTAACAGACATGAGGCAATATGAATAACATGCAAATCGTTTGCTATTATTGAGGATCCTTGTGAATTTCCACAGTTGTATCTTATTGGGATAAATTGCTGGACATACCATTTTTCAAGAAAGGAGTGATGGTGTTGCACCACTTTCTAGTCCTGGTTTGGCAATGATTAGAATGCAGTACTGCAGGCTACTTCTAGTAAAATGAGGACCCAGATTAGGGCAATATGTCAACCGCTTAGAGAGGGCTGTAAAAGCACTGTAAAGCGGTATATATGTCTAAATGCCTTCCCTCATGCTATTGCTATATTTTTCAGAATTTCACATACTTCTTGAGTTGTGTTCCCATTTAGGAGACTCTTTTGAGTTTTTTTAAATCAGCTCTTTTGAAGCACTGGCTGGATTTTGTTCTTGTGATTGCTCGCCAGTCAGTGGACCTGACAGCTGAGTGTGAAGAATCAGATGAGGGGCCTCGAGTGACATCAGAGGAAGGCTCTGAGGAGCTCCAAGACTTAGTCTGACGAGGAGCCTGACCCCTCTACTCATGCTCAGGCTGAGACACAGCTGTACTGAAAGCCTGAGTTGGACAGTGATGAAGAACAATTGGGAAACATCCAGGATGCATGAAAATGGGCAAGAAAAGAGAGGTCAGAGGAATGCAATGGGGCACCTCCAAAGGCAAAGGAGAAGGCATTAGGAAGCCATGCCTTGGCTGCATAATAAAAGGGAAGGTGTGGGAGGTGCTGGTTGCCAAAGGCAACCGTTCGTGTTGAGGATTGAATTTCTGTGAACTGTTTGTTTACCTTGGACATTGATTCAGGTGTGTGAGAATAAAAGGGGTTGGTTTTTTTGTGTAGTTTCTGCCTGCTTGTTGGAAGAGGAGTTTCTCCTTGTGAGCATAACAAGGACTCTCGTAGGCTGGGACAGAACAGTTCTATTGCTTGTGTTTGCATTATATTGAATCCCAATATGAAGTGGTCACTCTTGCCCAAAGTTCAACTCCATCACTTCTTCTCTATTCGTAAGGATTAGGTCCAGTATAGCTTTTCCTCTAGTTCCTTCTTCTACCTTTTGGATGACAAAGTTGTCAGCTAGGTTGGTTAGGAATCTGTTTGATCTCCCACTTGCTGCAGAGTTTTGTCTCCCCGTTGATATCAGGGTAGTTAAAGACTCCCATTACCACTGTGGTATATTTCCTACATAGTGCTATTGCTATTTATGTGATTGTAAATTGATGGAAGCGAAATTCTTTAGCAGTGACTTTATAGCCTTCTCCATCCTCCTCATCCTCAACAACCATTTTTCTGTGGTTGAGATCTCTTTTGATCAGGGCATGATGCACTTTCAAATCTGAATTCTGAGGAAAACATGATGGCAACCAATGTTTTTTATGAGAGAACAAATGTCACAGATCAAGTTCTGACAATAAGTCACAATACTGCTAGATTAGTCAGTTCAAAAAGATTGATTTCAGTCACCTATGTAAAACAATACGTAAATTATAAAAATTACATGGCGCATCTATACTTTGTTTTATGCAGTTTTACTTTTTTGTAACTGATAGCTTTAGTTTGATTTAAGCAAGATAGATACTGAAAAGCAGAAGAATGGAAAGATACCGTCTACATCCTCAACAGTGTTAAACTTTCTATGATTTCAGTATTCCTTCCACCATTCCACCAGTGGTGAAACTGCAAGCTTTAATGTTCCCAATGCACTTTTTTGTCTAAACATTCTGAACGGTAGCTTACTTTACTTACAGGAGTAAATAAGCATTCCTAATTATATCACAGTTGTCACCTAAGAGAAAAAAAAATGCAAATGCTGCTTCTGAAGTGATATATTTAACAAATTCTGCAGTTTAAATGATACAGGAATTAACTTTGTTTATACATTTGTAGTACAATAGTCAATTGTTTAGCTTTTTTCTACATTTATCTATGTAATATTATGTACCTGAAAAATAAACTCCAAACCAAAAAAAAACTTCAGTCAAACTCCCCTTCCTCCTCCAGCTTTATTGATAGTTTAAAATTACATTTCTATATTCTAGGACTTCAATTGCTTTTACCATCTGACTTTAAAAACTGATTACAAGCAAATGAAACTCAACAATTGTCTAAGTGATATAGTATACAAAAATAACATCTTGATTTCTGTGAAAATGCAGTTCTTTTCAAGTCCTGAATAGCTCCAAATTGTGTATACTCAAGCACTGATGTTCTGGGTTTGATTTAGTTTGAAATATTTAATGTTTCCCATTCCCTTGTTACCTCGCATTAGACATTCATTTATTGTATTACGGTTACTTCAATTTCTCCCTCACTCTTGTGGCCATTAACAGGCATGTGCATTGTTTGTTTATCCCACTTCGCTATATGCTTTTGGTAAGGCCTGATATAAATACTTGGTGTTTTAACTATTACTGAGGTCAGACAATCCAAGGCCATTATTGTAATATAATTAATTACTGTGGAAGTTCAGACACTTCCAGCTTATTTCC